TGGATATGGAGATTGGCATGTAGATAACAGCTTCTTAATTGAGAAGAAGAAAAATTGGATGAGTTGCTAACCCTAATCAACCAGAAATATCCAGAACAAGAAAAAATATACAATTAAAGTAAGGTGCAATATATTAACTCCACTGGCAAGGAAGTCGACAAGGATTCCCTTAGGGAAGTGTGATGTTCCCCAGTGACTCACTCAAGGGAGCCTTGTAGGAAGAGGAGATTTGAGTGCACTGAAAGAGTTCTATAAAAGTTTGGAAGCATTTTTTGCAAAGAGATAGCAAAAAAATTAAAAGCACCGTTTTCTTTTTTTCTTTTTTCTTTTTTTTTTTTGGTTGACAAGGGGAATACTGAGTTAGTGACTTAGTATTTATTTAGGATCAGAGTCGAACCAAGAATCCGACAAACTCCACCTGGTACTTGTCAAATAGTGTGATCATCCACTGGACTAGGGAGTTTAAAAGCACCCTTTCTTTAAAGGTTGTCCTGGCAATTTTTTTTTGCCAGGTCTGCCTGATTTTGCGTTTCCCCTTCAATTTAATATTTCAAGAGAATCCAACTGTCTAAATAATTTAATGATTATTTCTTTTTATTAGAAGTAAGAGATTCTGAGTTTGAATCACATTGCATGCGGGTAGAGTGGTAGAGTGAAATAAGAGATGAGTGATATTTATCTTTCATTGTGCAATCAAGATAAAATATATATATATACATATTTTTAAAAGAAAAAATATTTTTTTACATTAATTTAATTTTAATTGTTCATCCTATCATTAAAACATTTTCAGAATTTTAATCTCTTTATCGCTTAAATTAGCTACCATTAAAAGATATATATTAAAAGATATATAGAAAATAACTACTATTATAATCAGACAGAGAAACTAATAAATTAGGTTTTTATCTGTTAATTCTATATTACATTGTAATTGTAAATTTTTAATTTTTTATTATCTCAAAATATATAAAATATTGATTTATATTTTTAAATAAGGTACTTTGTAAAAAAAGATCTATGAGAAACACAGACAAAAAAGCCTAAGGTAATGTTTTAAATTTAAAAAAAAAATTCTATTATTTTAAGATGACTAGTGCATAATTTTTATTTTTAAAATTATAAATCAGTAAAAAGAAAAATAAAAATAAGAATAGCTCGGAAGGGACGTGTCGTTCTAGCTTTATTTATTTATTGTTTTGATAACATTAATTTTAGTTAATTTAGTAAAAATGTTTTCAATCTTAAAGTATACAGATTTTTTAATATTTAAAGATTTAAAGATTTGACAAATATTTAAAAAATAGAATTAGGAACACTTGGATTTTCAATATATTTTTCATATTTAAAAACATAAATGATAATAATAAAGGGAAAAAAAAAAACAAATGTAGGATTGAGAAGCATTTAATATTACATACCTTTGCTTCCTGGCTTTAATTTTTTTTCTAATGCTCAAAGTTGAAAGTGGATGCAAAATTGCTGCCCGCTGGGTGTGGGTGACAATTAAACCCTGCGAAGAAACGCAGAAACAGTAAATAAAATTTAAGATGAAGAAACTGAACATTAGAAAATAAATTAAAAACAAGAGAGGGAAGAGATAAGGAGCACACCTTTTGCC